AAGAGTGTTATATTAAAACATCGAAAAATTATTTTCCGAACAATTGCACATTTTACCTTTATGACATCATTACACTCGTCACGTTTTCTGTATCTAGCAGTTTTCATAATGTTATCATTTTATATGTATTTTTTCGACGTAAAATCAAGCGGTATAAGTTAGAACAGGACAAGCTTCTCCCATTCCTAGAGCATAATAACGCAAAGTTCGAAGAATTGTATTCTTATACTGTCTTTAGTCAACTTGTTAAAAAAATATTCGGCTAATTTTATACACTGTTAGGACAATTACCGGCACGATCCGTTCTGCACAAAAACCACTTTCCCCAAAACCCGTTGGTCAAAATAAAAGGTTTTTGCTTAATATTTGGCGCGCTAACAAAAAAATGGCATAAAATAAGTGTTTCTCTGTTCAGGCACTATTATTATGTCACTTGTAAAATCCATTCGAACTGCTTGGAATGTAAACGGCAGTATAGGTATTTATTTGTTATTAAGTTACAGAGCTAGCAAGGTTACACCGTAATGCAGTCAACGTGAGGTTTAGAATTACTTGCCGACTCACGGCTATGTATAATTTTTGCCCTCGAAAAATAAAAAGGCACAAGTAGCAAATTCAAAATTCCTAGATAAATGACTTTAAAATTGTTCTACATTTTTCTGAAGTATAGTTAAAATATATTCTTAATGCATAAGACATCTTTAATACCGAAAGTTTAATTGCATTTTAACTATAAATTTTTAAACAATATCTTTTTTTTGTACCAAGTTAGAGAAAATTTTCTCTTTTAAATTGGTGGAAGAAAAAATTGCTTATAAAGAGCATAAATAACTCAAATGTAATTTTTTTATATTTGACATATTTATGATAGAAGTAAAGAGCACATTGATAGCCAGGTCTAATTGAACGAGATAAAAATAAGGGTACAGTTACGTACATTATTAAGTAAAATCATTTAATATTAGTGGTTTTAACTTAATAAATGTAATAGGATTTTTTATAACAGAAAGTATGATTATTGATGTCAATCGTGTCTTTTGAGTTTACTATATATCCAGAAATTATTGATATTCTACAAAAATATCAATAATAATTCAAATAAACATTAAAACAATAAAAATTAAGTATACATAAAAATATGTATATATATAAGCTCAATTTTAATAAGAAAATGTTAGTTGTGCCTTTTTTCGTTCCAAGGGCAGATTCCAGGCGCCCACTGACGAGATGGCACAGTAGGAGATTTCTTGATGACAAATAGTAATATACCTCACTGCTATGACATTACAGTTGAAATTTCATTCGTTTGCTTAAGGATACCGAGCCGTCATGCCTCGGCAACCTTCATAATGCTTCAAATAGAGCATAGGCGCGAGCATAATGTCCTGACGGTAGACATCAGCATGCCTAAGCCTGGTAGCCTAAGGATACCGCTGCATATTTGATTGAATGCCGAAGGATCCTTGTCATAGCATCCCGCCAATGGGCGCTGGGTTTTATTATGGACGTGATACTCTAGCGTGCGTCCACTAACGTGACAACACTGAGACTTTGAGCAGAACAACTTAGAGACTTTAAACCTCCAAGTTATCTATCACGGGCATGACCCCCCGTAAGGTTGCTGGCTTTTAGCTAGTCACAGAATTTTATTAACTCACTCACTTTAGTATCAAGTATTTTTAAATATCATTGTCGATCTAAATATTACATTCCCTACATTTTCGTTTAAAATGGACCTTAATGACTTCCTACCTAAAATAAAATGACATAAAAATAACGTATCCGTATGTTTGATGTACCGTCACTTATAAAGAAGCATGGCAAGAGTCAAGGTGTCTATGCTAAGCTGATAATAATGGCGTTTAATTTCTAAGATATATACGTCATTATTAAGGGCGTCTTCAAACTAGATGCTTATACAAGCGCTGCAGTGACGCCACTAATTTTCACATAATATTTAGAAGAGAATGCTAGTGCAACAAAGTTAGATCCGCATAAAGATTATGAAATTTAGAATTAAGTGCTAATGAGTAAGTGTTTAAATTAGTTGTTTGCACTAACACACGTGCGTTTCCGAGACGATTTTCACTCTTTTGTTCTATTGCATTCTAAAGATAAATAGGTGCAAATAATAATTTGCCAACTCACAATTCACAATTAGAGAATTAAAAATTAATGAAGTGCTACAGACGCGCAGCTCCCGCGCCACTGTAGCGCTTCTACAAGGGTCTAATGTGAAGGCGCCCTAAGGTGTGAACCAATCATCGACTAGCTTGTGGATTGGTTGGTTTAGTGACATTTCAATCGTTCGATTACAATTTTTTTATTAACTATTTTTATGAGATTTTTTATATGAATCAAAGCGAAAAGTGATATGTTAAGACGCTTGCCACGTATTTTGAATAATGTATTTATGGAAAATCCACCGCACGCCCATAGCCCCACTTAGAGTACAGATTTTTGCTACATAATTATTATTTAAGGTAAATGGTAAATGTTGCAATTCTACCTTATATAGGTATATAATATGCAACGCAATTTGAAGTTACGAGTATATTGTAAGTGTTATCGGGCTACCATTAAACGGTCACTAGAGGGCGCGTAAAGTGTAGATGTTAATATACCCAGCATTAACCGACTTCAAAAAAAGGAAGAGGTTCCCAATTCGACTGTTTTTTTGTATGTGTGTTAGGCGATAACTCCATTTGTGAACCGATTTTGTTGACTTTTTTGGTGGAAAGGGCCTGGTACCTCAGATGTGGTCCCATTTAAATTTGAAGAAAATTGTCCACCTCTAAGGGTGGCAAATTAGGGAAGAATGACTTTTGAGGTCGGTTTTTTAGCTACATTGAGTTATGACGTCAATAGAGTGTCAGTAGAATGGCAGTGATGGCATTCATTTATTCAATTACTAACAATTGATGTTGTCTTACTAAAACTACCACGCAAATTACTATGTATATCTTAAATTTTCATCTCGTTTAATCAGAATTTAGTCTTCAAATCAAACATACAACATATTAATAAAGTATGCCATCGGCTTGCCATTGTAGAGCAGAATACCAAAAAATTGCAATGGCAATTGAACAATAATTCAATGGCATCGAGTATATAACCAGAAATAGAGACGAAATAACCATCCATCCCTGGCAACTCATCAGGCAAATGGGCCTTATGTCACTTTTAAGTATCAACTCGCGTTTGCGCTGAAATCACAAGTTAGAAAACTGATATTGTACAGCGCCAACAACTGACCTGTGTGTACGTCTCCATATATTCCAAAAATATTCTGTATTTATAGTATTAAAGGTAATATGTCTAACAATGGGGGGCTGTTCGATTCGGTGATGTGGGAAAAATAGCAAAATATTTAATAACAAAACAAACGGAATCACATATAATCGGTAATTAAGTATTAAATATGTAATTTTTAAATTTTTGTCCATTATAGCAAAGCTCAAGTTAAATTCGTCGATTTGAAATGAAACAATTGAATTTCGAATTCGGGCTGGTCAATCGAAGCACAGTTGTCATCGTAATGAATTGGCAGAATAATTTTCAAACAAACTAAATGAGATTTTCGTCTCTATTTCTGGTTATATACTCGATGTCCAATAGCCATTGACAACCACTACCATAGTAGAACAAGAACAAGTAGGGCAGCTCCGTACCCAATAACAGCGCGGTTTGTACGTGTACAGACACACACATTCGCATAATAATGAAATGCGCGTTGTGACGACCAGTGTCGTGCAACGCTAGAGCACCCTTAGGTTTGAGTCCGTACAAGCCGCACTGCGACGTTTAATATGGAGTTACCATATTTGTCCTTACGCTTCGGCCACGAAAATATCGCCACGCTTGAAGCGTCAATTCGCTGAAAGCGACAATTTTAAAACTTCAAAATACACCCACGATATTTGGTAATGGGGTCTTCGGTGGAGGGGGGGAGTCAAGGAAATAAATATTTAATATTGTTTGATATTACTGGTGAAATATGCTTTAAATATATATTAATAATAATGTAAATTAATTACTATTTGCTTTAAGTAACCAAACAAAAACAAAATAATTTGTTTCAAACGATGATGCGCGGAGCGACAGTTTTTGCATACTATGGAACTTTCTCGTATAATTTATTCTGCTCGCACGCAAAAACGCGCGTAATGCTTGTGCAAATTCGCTCGTTTAAACGCTCACGTCTAGAGCGTTAAGACGGAAAGCACGCTTAAAAAATTTTGCTTTTTAAAATAAGCATAATGTGAATAATAATTTTATAAATAACGATAAAGCTCGTGTTTTACAAATAAACTTACTTATCTTAAATCGATTTTTAAGCTTCAAACTAAAAAGCGTCTAAAAAAAGCACGCTTTTTTAAAAAAGCTTAAAAAATAAGCACTTTTCTCATCTTTATTCGCTTGTAGCGAATTTTGCTGCAAGTTGCAGCGCTACTTTGTAAATAAAATCATATATTTGTAATTGACGCTCGACGCTGACGCTTGTAGCAATAAGCGAATTCGCTAGGAGCGTCGCGACTCGTGGCCCTCGTGTTATTCTACTACGCCAATACTCGTTACTTTTAGAAGAATACCAAACGTACATAATGCTGCCAATGACACTCTATCCACACACAATTGAGATGATTTAAAATTAGCAAACTTGGGGACCCATTTGTTTGGTGTCGTAGCCCTTTTATCTACATCGAAGCCACTTTCAAACCGAACGGTGGCTCTGTATCCCAGCGATTTCGAAGTTAATCGTAACACTGTCCCATGTGCCTCTAATTTCATCACCAATATTTCATCACAAGTAGCAGCAGAGCTCCTTGAGAAAGAGTTCGTCTAGGGAAGTACTGCCACCTTACATATTTCTGCCGCCAAGCAGTATTGTGAGCATTACTGCGTTCCGATTTAGAAGGCTAAGGGTCTGGTGAAATTACAGGCACATGGGACATGTCAATTTATGTCTCTGGGTGAAGGGCAGTGCCCATAAAATCTTTGCGATTTAAAGCTCTGAGTGGCACTGCAACTGTTATGGACAGGAGTGTCTCTTACCACCACGCGAACAACTTATTCGTCCCGTTACTTGGTAATAGAAAAATAAATAAAAACCTTAAAAACTGGATCGCTGTTATGCAATCATTACTGTTTGGCGGTAGAAATAGGTATGGGAACGCGAGACGTCAGAGATGGTGTCACCATGGAAACCGGTGTGCAAGGTAGTTGAAATGGCGACAATATGGGTTGATAGTCGGTCTGCCAATTACAATAATGGCGTTAGTTTAATTTTTGCCATACCACAGACTAAGTAGCACAGCGTTATCGCCTTTGGCGTGACCAAATGGGTATGCGCACTCATGTTGTGAGGGTGCAAAAAGTCAATCCTGAACATTGTGAAGTCAGTGGACTTAGCCGGGGGTGGATCGGACGTTTCGGGCAGCTAGTAGAGAGTCGGAGTGTCAGTCGGAGTCGCTACCCGACTCGGATAGGCATAGGTCGTCCTTCAGTACATCGCTAGGGAGGGTCGTGTTGCTAGAGTTGCCTGAAACATATTAATTAAATGAATTAATGAAATATTCCCTACTGCACGTTAAAAAATACAAGGACAACACATAATAGTAATGTGAGTATCACAGAATAAGCTAATGTAAAACCTTATTGCTAAGTAGCAATTTCTTCCAGGCAAACTTAGAATAAATAATAAAATTTATTTAAATATTTTTGTTGGAAAATGGAATATTAAATACGTATTGTATGTATATGTAACATAAGTAACTTTGAGAATTCCGGTACGTATTAACAACAACGTAAATTGTTAGTGTACAAAGGTCAGCTTATTCCATAGGGATCTCTTCCCATTAACCTCTGAAGTTTCTCATGAAACAGAATAATTTTTACTGTAAACTCAAATTACATAAAATTTTCGAGACCGCACCGAGTCTCGATTTGTTTCGTACCCTTTTTTTGCGATTTGTTTACTGAAAGCCCTTAATGATACTACTGTCGTATATAACTATACTCCGTTTCAATCAATTTTAAACAAACAAGTCACTGACCCGACCATAGACATTTAGTGATGGCCAATTTTAGTGCCAACTAAAAATCAATTAATTAATTTAATGAGTCGATTTGTTAATTGTTATTGTACTAGCGATTACATAACCTATAAAAGCATAATTAAACTTCCCGAAATCTTAATTTTAAATCCTCCTTCAAATCTTTACACTTAGATACTCGTTCGATTGCAATTGAAATTTTCTGTTTACTAATCGATTACAAAAACTTTAATTGAATGAACTCAATGTTTGTTTTCCGTACAGCACTGTGCAACCATAGACTATTCATACATCTTTAATTAAAAAATAACTTCACTTTTTGACTACAATTACAATGTTATTCAAATGGATATTGTTGGAAAAAGTGATGAAATATCAAGTCAAAATCTTCGAAATGTACGTGAAAGTGTTACTTATTTGATTTATTGAGTGATTACATTGGAAATTCAACCAAACCGTTTTGTTTACATTTCGTTTAAAATGTTTTGGAACAGACTATAAATTACTAAATAAATACTGCTGTCTTTATCATAAACAACGTAATCGACATTTTTAAAGAAATTAAGTTATTAAGGCTGATCACGGTTCTATGTAATCCAATAGCCACTAGATGGCGTTGATAAGGGGAAATACTTGTTTTTCACGATGTTATTCCTATTCTGTATGTACTGACCGTTAGTAAGCCGCTGTGGGGGATTATCGTCACTATCGCTTCCGCTGTCGGAGTCGCTACCGCTGTCACTCGTCGACGAGGAAGAGCTGTCGTCCACCTGCGGCTGGTGTGTATTCGTCTAAGGACAAGCATAAATATAAATAAGTACCGCGCACTATACAAGTTTGATTTTAAGACAACGGTGCTCGAAAGAGAAAGAATTTTAGTGCATTGTGTACTAAACTATTGTGTCTTGTTGGAATTTTTGTTAGGCTTTAATGACTCGATATTAAAGCCCTCAGCCTTCGGCTACTGGTCGTGATTTTGCCCTTGATATTTTTGAATTTGTAATTTTGATCGCCTGTACTACATACAATGTTTTTCATCACATTTGCGAGGAAATAAATACAACGATAATTTATAATCTTCTATGAATAAATATCGCTTCACAACATAATGGCAAGCATAAAACTTTTTGCATAATCTTGTCTTAAAAAATCCATATGGCGATAATGTAATGAAAAAACCCATGGACATAATTTAGGACATTATGGTCAACCTTGCCTGCATGATATGACACTATTTACAAGCAAGTGTGATGAAAATAAATAAATGTCTATTCCGTAAAAGAATAACAGCACCGTACATTGATAAGGCGTTTATAATATTTTGTCAACACGTAATCTCTGCAGAAATTTTATTAAACCTTGTATTTCTCGTTAAGTGGATTTGTATTCTTTTGAGATATTAATATTTTAAACCATAAACCATGCTTGGCCTCATCGGAGAATCGAACTAATCAAAATGTCGAACAAGAAACAAAATTTTTATGATACCGATCGAGAGGGTCGAGAACATCATATTATATTATATAATCTATAGAAAACAGATTTTTTCAAGTAAAATGTACTGACCGGTGCAGATGGTGGTGGAGGCTGATGCGCGTGCTGCGCATGTTGCGGGTGCTGCTGATGCTGCGGGTGACGCTCGAGCGTGTTAGCGCCTCTGTCGGGCGCGCCGAAGCGCTCGGGCGGCCGCTGCGGGTAAACCGGCGCAGACGCAAGCGGCGCGTCGTCCAGGCCGATCATGGGCAACGACGCCAGGGTGCTGTTGCCGCCGCCGGACCATCTGCCGGACACCACTCACTCAATTACTCCGGAACATTAATAATACTGGGTTCAGCGAATTATCCCGTCGTAATGGCTGATATACATTAGTCCAATATACTTCGTTCCAATCCATTTCAAACAAAAAGTAAACAAACAAGTCACTGACCTGACCATAGACGGTTTAGTGATGGCCAATTGTAATGCAAACTAAAAATCGATTAATTTAATTGAATGACTCGATTTGTTTACTAGCTAGCAGTTTTCCTTACATAAATAGGAAAAATACATAACCTATAAAAGCGTATATTTAAAGTTCTTAGGTTTTCGCGATCGTTACACATAGGAAATGAAACTTATTTTCCGGATTTAAATCGCGTATATTTGTTTTCTCAAACAAACCGACGTTTCGGGCCCTTTACAGGTCCCGTGGTCAATTTGCTTTTACAAACAAACTGACGTTTAACGGGTCCTTTACAGGTCATATGTCAACCGTGACTATGGGACCTGTAAAGGGTCCGAAACGTCGGTTTGTTTGAAAAAACAAATATACGCGATTTATATCCGGAAAAATAGTTTCATTTCCTACGTATATTTAAAATTTCCGAAATCTTAATTTCACATCTTTACACTTAGATACTCGTTCGATTGTGATTGAAATGTTCGATTTACCAATCGATTACAAATACTTTAATTGGATGAACAGTATGTTTTTTTTTTCGTACAGCACTATGCAACTATAAACAAGTCATAAAAGTATAGATGAAGAATAACCTCACTTTTGAACTACCATTTTTCAAATACGATTTTACGATGCTATTCAAATGAATATTGTTGAGAAAAGTGATGAGATATCAAGTTGAAAATTTGGAAATGTACGTGAAAGTGTTAATTATTCGATTTATTGAGTGAACCGGAACGTAGTAATACTCACATTACTGCTTGGCAGCAGAAATATGTAAGGTGACAGTACTTCCCTGGACGGACTCTTTCACAAGGAACTCTACTGCTACAACTAATATATAATGAATAAATAGTAATTGCTGAAAAGCCTCGTATACTAACGGCGCAGCCTGTGGCGGGGAGGTCTTTTGTCGCGGCGGCGAACGCACGAGGCTGGACGGTTTGGAGGGCGCCGCTGCGCCTGCGCCGGCCGGGCCACCTGCCGCCGCAGTGCCGCCGGCGCCTGGCGCGCTGAACCGCGCGTTCGGGTTCGACTGCGGGGCGTTGCCGGAGACGACTACGGACGAGAGGAAAATCCGGTGTCTCACTTCGATGAGTTGACTTCGTTTTGCTAATCAGGCTTTTACAGAATCAACGAATTTATGGATTGAAAATCATAATGATAATGGGCGGTAAATAAGTAATCACTAACGAGAGTTTGTTAGAAGCCCGAGGCCGAAGGTTGAGGGCTTTAATGACTCGAGGTTTTAATTTTTATTACAGCCCGTGCCAAATACAATGATTTTCATCACATTTGCGAGGAAATAGATAAAACGATAATTTATTTCGTGTGAATAAATTCCGCTTCAGAACACAACATTTGCGGATTTTGCAAATGGCGGGCTTTTTGATTTTTTTTTTTTTTGAAACAGAATGCCATCTGTTCTTTCATAGATAACAACAACTCAAACTAAAATGTTGACGAGAGACGTATGCGGCCACAATGTATTAGATATAAAATAAATAATTTCCGAACTCTATAAATACTGCAGAATTTGAATTCACAAAATAAATTTAGTGATATATATTTATGTTGCAAATGTTCAGTTTTTTTAAACTTCAAGTTTATGCAAATGTGTTTTGCATGTGTTCAGATTTTTAGAGCATAAAACCTTTTTGCTCAATATTGCCTCAAAAAATCCATACGGCGATAATGTAATGAAAAAGCCCGTGGGCATAATTTAGGACATTAGGGTCGACTTTACCTGCACGTTGGACACTGTTTACGAGCAAGTGTGAAAAACATTGTATGCCACACAGACGGAACAGCAAAAACAAAGTTTCAGATTATAAAAGAATTTGAATGTCCCTGTGTTCTTAATTGTCTACTTACCGCTCTTGTGAGACAATATACTATCTAATTCGAGTGATGTTACAACGGGATTGAATCATACCAGGGTTCCGGTTAGTGCGCATGCCCGTGGCGACGCGCGTGCGCGACGTGGAGCGCTGCGTGGTGTTCGTCAGGTCGGCCGTCACAGGTGTCAGCGGCCGCGGTTTCGTGCTGCTCTCCTGTCTACAAACAAACAATTAGCTGTTTCAAAAATACTTACACAAACCAATATACAATATTTTGACGTGTTGTGTTCGTGTTAAAAACGTGCTTAATTTTATTGTGAATATTGGTGGCTACGGATTTGCTCCATGATATCGATCGTCTGCTTCTTACACGTTCACTCGATTTTGTCTAATAATCACACATGTTGACCGACAAAAAATACGATGTCGATAGTCTGTCTGCTTCTTACACGTTTACTCGATTTTGTTTGGTGATCACAAATATTGATCGACAATAAGTACGATGTTGATTATCTGCTTTTTACACATTTATTTGATTTATTCTGATCACACATATTGATCACTAAACATACAATGTCGATAGTCTATTGCTTACAAATTTACTCGTTTTGTTTATGTCGATTGTCAAAAAGTCGAGTAAATCTATATGCACCTTAAGACACCGAGCTTTCATATTATAACAATCACGGGACAATATTGGGCCGATTGGGCGCCAGATACGAGTTAAGTTTTTTAAAATCATCTTCCTGTTGAATTAGGTGTTTTTAAGATAGACCACTATTCTGGATAGCCATGGAATTATCATCTTAACTAACATAATCATCGAAGTTTAAAAATAACGTTAAAAAGCTAAATTTTATCTAATTTTTAATTAATTACTCATTATACTTTTAGCATTATTTTAGAATACATACCGTAATTTTTGCGAGCAGAAGCAGACGACGTGCGGTTACGGCGCTGAAGAAGCTCAAAAAGCACATTATTGCATTTGCATCGATTCAAACGCGCCTATAAAATTAAACAGCGCGATAACCGCGACCGAAGTTCGTTTCTATTGTATTTTACACGCACTTGAATTGATTCCATAACAACAGCAACATCGCTTTGCAAGGCTGAGAAAAGGGGCGGGGGAGGGGACCATGTCAACGCCACTGCACCGGCCATCGGGCACGAGATCTAAGACTTATCTATAATCTGCCTTTTTTGAAGACAGAGTAAAATGACAGTGCATAGCGCAAAAGTGTTGCCCGCTTGCGAGCAGCTAGTGATTGTAGTCGATAAATATTCTATCGACTATCGACTGAATATTAGTCACGCTTATGGAATAAATAGCCGAACTTGTTTAATTTGAATCATCCTCGACTCATTATTCATCCAATTACTGAGCACAAGTTCATTTGAATAGTCAATTTTGAAAAAATACAAAGAGGAGACATATTTTAAAGTTTTTCATTTTAATTCAATATAGAATATATAGATAATCAAATCCGGCTACTCTTGTTAAAATGTATATGAACGAAAATTGATCTCGATACTAGTAGGCCAACTGTCAAATTAAGAATAAATAACGCAAATTAGTACGTCGTAACATTCACAATTCAGTAATTTTTGCCAAAATTTTATCTTCTTTCACAATCTATCGATAAAACTACTGCCAACAGTTGTACATAACTATTTAAAATTTTATATAATAAAACTGGCAATCCTTCAAATGTTAGTTTACTTCGTCTTCAAAAAAGACTATAGTTTAATAATAAAGCGTATGCACCAACCTTGTTTTCTTAACCTGTATGTTGCTAGAGAGCTTCTCGAGCGTGAATTCGCCCGTGACGCGGTCAATGATGAGCACGCATTCTTTCGTGTACGGACGCTGGCTGCCCTTGAACACCGTTTGGGGCACGCCCGCACCGTCTGTTGAATATATGAGATTATGTGAATTGTTATAAATTAAGCGGTAAAACAAGAACACAAGCGCAACTACAGTCACAAACACCTCCACCAAAAATATACCCGACACGTGTTTCGCGTCTATATAAGGCAACCACAGAGGTTGTAGACTGTTCGACACTCGGCAGATGAAATTATAAAATTAAGTAAATAAATTAGTTTCTTTTTATGTGTAGTTTAAGACCGTAGATAAGTTTTGGACTAAACTTCATTTTTAATTTGATCACCCATTTTGGTTATTTTAGTACTCTATACTAAGATTATTTCAATTCGAGTGACTCAAGTTAATGTGATTGCTGACTCGAGTTGACTCGGCTCGGTGTCTGACGGAGCAATCGCGAGTAGCGAGAGCGATCTGGTGTAGATTCATATGAACTCGAACCGACGTTTCACCGAGCTGGGCACGATCGGCCGGCCGACCGAACCAATCGAGTGAGAACGAATAGTCTATCCGCGGTACGAATGAAGTATTCGGCTCGGTGGGGCGGGCACCTAACCGAGCTAGCTCTAGTTCATAAAAAAGTAACTCGATTTGACTCGTTGTAGGAGTAACTCCAGTTAATAGAATTGACTAACTCGACTTGCCCATCGCTATCAGTTAACTTGTTCTGTAGCTCAGTTGATTAAGAGCGGTGGTCTCGGCATGGCAACAGGTGCTGGTTCGAGTCCAGCCATTGAAGGAATTTTTATTTGTATTCGATCCTGGTATCAATTATAATGAACAAACTTACCTAAATGGGGTACAGTGACCGTAACTTGATTGTTGGTGCCCACGTCTACTGTCGCCATTTTGTTCACATCAACAGATGCAGGTTTGAAGTCATCTGGAATCATTTCATAATCATCATTTAAATTGCTACTTATTGGCAAATGCAGTCTTGTATCGCATAGTTACACTACAGAGCAGTTCATTAGGACTGCACACGGGCCACATTATTATTTTATTGTGATCGCCAGAATAAAATATTTAAGCCATAGTGCTACAGTCAAGTCGGGTAACCTTGAACACTTTCCTCGGGCTTTTACAGATATTAAAATAAAAATGAATCGGACGAAATTTGTTTGGTCTGTAGTCGAAATAGGATTTATTGATGGTAGCCAGGCAACTTTGAGGTTCTAGGAAATTATGTGCGAAATTTAATTTGAAATTTACCAAGAGCTTTTCTTAGAAGGAAAATATCATGATGAAACCTGAACGTCGAAGAAGACTCACATCACTCGGAAAACATGTAAAGTATTGGCTTAAGCCCTCGCTTAAAAGGAGACCCGTGGCCAGTAGTCGGACTTATAAATTGGTTGACAATGATGATTAATCAGTGTCTTTCATATCCAAACTTGGAATAATTGGACTATAAATAATAACATAATAATAATAATAACGCGCTCCCACTCATAGCCCAACACTAGGGAAACCCTGTATCGCGGGTGCTATGGACACATACACACAAATTACACCCAAACTCACAAGAGAAATAAATGTAGGCCATACAATTATTTCTCCCGATACGGGAATCGAACCCGGGACCTCTGCGTTCGGCCACGGAGGCAGTTTAAATGATGAATTTAAAAAAAGTGTTTGAGAAAATTTTGCTTAAAGTTACCCTGACTACAAAATATTTTTGAATTGAGTTATTTTGGACAACAAAAATCCTCCTTCATCACATTTAATCTTAAAGCTTATGTATATACAATAAGGTTAGAATTGGTATGTACTTTTTTACGAATTGGTAAAGTATTGAATACCAAAGAGGTTTTTCTAATTTCCCATTGTTGTTATTTCGGGAATTTATTGCCTGTATTGAAAATCTTGATACAATAGGTCAGAGATTATTGTGGTTATATGTTATATCTTTATATTTCTCAATGATAACATAATAAAAAAACCCTCTCAAATTAATATTAATGTCACTTGCTTTTTATGACAATGGGGACGCTGGATTTTGAGTATGTATTATTTTATAATACCACGTGGCGGAACGAACAATCCGTGCGCCTTGTGGTAAGCGACAGGCCTATCCATAACAGTTGCAGTGGCACTCAAGAACTTTAAATCACAAAGATCTTAGGGGCACTGCCACTGTGTCCATCACTCTGAGACTTAAGTTGGCATGTCTCATGGTCCTGGTATTCCACCGGCAACCTTAATCTTCAAACGCAGAATGCAGTAACGCTCACGTTATTGCTTGGCGGCAGAAAAAAGTAAGTTGGCAGTACTTCCTTGGACGAATTCTTTCACAAGGAGCTCCACTGCCATTAAAATTTATATTTATAATTCATGAAGATTCAAGTTTACTTACACTTAATAGTATGGTACTGTGAGGACTTGTTGTTAGTGAAGCTGGCACCGAGCTTCAGCTCTCGTACCTCATAATTCAGACTGTGCTTGTCCGCCATATTGCTCTGCTATGCCATATAGGTTGTTCTGAAAATTTATATTAATGTGGTTTATTTGAGTCATTAACAGGAGTCGAAAACAGGACAATTTGAATTAATTGGATATAGGTGCGTGCAAATGGGACGAGTTGCAAATTGGAAAAGTTACGAAAGGGACGACTCGGGAGTAATACTAATAGCGACCAGGATTTATAGCAAATGCGACAGGTAGCAATCGAGACGTAATGGAACGCTTGGGGGGTGAGTGACAAGACGCGTGGTAAGTAAATCTGCTAATGACTTATCAACTTAATAAAACAACATCTTTATAAATATAAATTTATTATATCAAGCTACATCATGTATCACTGTAGAACACGAGTTTCCTCTAAGGAGATGGTTTAGGCCTTTTTGTAACATACTTTCTTATTACAGTTTATAAACATAGGTTTTGTCACCTCATAATTAATGTATTTATTAATTTCTTCGGTTAACAAATTATCTACATGTGAAATACTCAAATTTATACCCTAAAGATCAGCACTAGGCATCGTCAATAGGTACATGCAATAGGTAAAATACAAAAACTCAGATTTATAAGAGATTTTGTCAAAGATTACTATTCTAATAAAAAATCCCGCCCCGTGTCATGCCCGGCTCAAAGTTCCCATTATACTGGCCCATGTGTTCCCATTATATCATAATAGAAACAAATTATATAGCAATACAAGAGTATATTCATTTTGATGGGTTGGTACTATCAATGCTTAAAGTTTGTTAATCAAATTAAATTCATTTTCTCTAGATATTTTATAGGCAAGGTAGGAACTATAAAAGTATCATAATTTGCTTTTATGTATGTGTTTAAAGAGTTTCTTATACATCATCATCAGCCTATTTAAAAGCCAGGGTCTTGTCGGTGTAGCCTCCTTCACTCTCTACATTCATCCATGGCAAGCTCGTTGCCCTCTTCATAGCTGCTCACTTTGACCTTCTCTTTAATTTATACACTGAATGCTAGCCTCAGTCTTCGTTTTCCTACTACCATTCCCTCGATATATTCCGAGTGTCAGAACACATAAGACACATGTTTACTTGTTCTTCCTTCTTAATGCCAAATGGTAGCTTTTATACATTCGTATGAATAATTTATCCAATCTGAACAGCAACTGCTAAATCTTCCTTCCAAATATGTTTCAAATGCGTGGAAATGAATACAAAGCGACAAATCCATTAAATGAGACTAGAAACTAGAATTTATCAAATTTATAGATTTTCATTCCAAAGCTCCTCAAATGTCCCCAAACATTTCCTGCTTCTGTTTTCTATTGCTTTTAAAGGTTTCTTTCTGTCTTTCCTAACTATTATTAAAAAGTGTTCATATTCTTCTGAGGTCTGCTTTTTTCCATCCACCTCCTGTTGCACATTTCTAATGCCTTCAATATCTTGCTGTCTTTTTTTGTGTTTGTCCAGGTCTCACATCCATTCAGAATGGAACTCCAGATGTACAGTTTTGATAAACATTTTTTCAAATGTATGGGTATTTTTGAAGCAAGTATGTTTCTAATTCTAGTCTTTATGTTTATGTTGCATTACATTTTGAATTCTCTTCTGCATAAGTAAGCTTATTATAATACTTACAGTATCAGATCTAGGAATTTTGTCTTAGTGGAGTAAAAGTTGAGTTATGGAGCTATCATAACCAAAGAATCAAATCTAAACAAATCACTAAAGTAATGACAATGCTTTTTAAAATTTTCCTACTTCATTAATAAGCATATAATTTTGCACTAATGACATTAAAGTGTATTGTTAATGTAATCTTAAAATCCGGAACGAATTATTTATAAGTAGTTACATGATAGATAAGTGCACGTTATAATATTTTTAAACAAATGACAAAAAATATTGTTGCAGTAAATTCAAACAGTGCTAAATGCACTTGCTGGGTAAATAATTGAGGAAATGGCAAATATTACAAATATTAACAAGATAACGATTGCAACACGATCGTTTCAAGTAAATTTTCGAGTTACATACTAATATATTCGATTATATGCATACGTATCTTTACATTCACTGCAGTTGACAAGCTGGTCCAAATTTTTGTCTACAATATAACTTTTATAGCTATTTCTAATAGTAACCTCATTCAATACGGTAACATGCTTTATGTACCTTTAAACTATGGACTATTTTGAAGCAAATACACATAAAAGAAAGTTCAATTAAATAAAATATGGCAAACAAATTCTAAAGACTGAATAGATAGACCCTTACCTTTGATTGATTTTTTTCACCAAGGTTATCAGCCAATTTGTCACCCGAAGAGAATTACATCATCAATATGATTTTCAGGCGTACCGTGGACATTGTATTTTCTTCCAAAATGAGTCCAAGATGCGGTAAATTAGCTCAATAAATTAGACATCGACTGTTGATCGACCCAATTCTCATGACAGTTGACTGACGTATAAAGAAACGAATGAATATTTGCAAAACTCAGATAGGGAGTCAATTCATCGAACGAATGAAATAGAACGATACTGGTATTGGTCAAGATATTTTACCTCAAGGATACGATTGGTCGAATGAAGAAGACCGTCCTTGGATGTTTATGTGGAACGATTTTATGTTATTTATAAGGTTAGAGTTATAATTTTTCTAACTGAGAACCTAAGAAGCTCTTTTGTACTTTGTAATTCTATAGCCCAAATCCATAAAAATAGTGGCACTGGCACAAACTAATAAACAAAGAGGATTATTATTTATTCTAATAAAAAAAATCTACATAGGAAGGAGGTTTAGTATTATTTTCAAATCGTTATTACTTTCCATAGAAACCAAACGATATGACGAAAAAGTCGATAACTTTAGAAGTGGATCCAACAATCATGGAAAAGAACATGAGAATTATCGAGGTAAGGACTGAAAAACCTGCGTAAAGTTATTACCAACACTGATCAACAGACACAATTTCAAGGAAACAATTAACTTTCAGGAGAATCCAGTTGAAGAAGAAATAAACAAATTATTAGCTTCAGTGGACACTGTACCGTCCAAGCTAGTTAAACCAAGACCAGGTAATCGATGGTAATTTCTTACAAACAATTGCATACTAACCTACACTTCACTGATTGTAAACAAATTTCCAGGTATGTGCGTTAAAACATTTACCAAGCCAGACAATAAGAAAGTGTTTGTAAACATATGTCTTACGGAAGCTATACCGTGTCCTAGAGACATTACTAATGAGGAACTAATGCAGATATTGAGCTCTGAGGATCCATCTACTTACAGAGTTCCCATGAGTATCGGCGAGGGTCGAACAGAGCAGGATAAGTCTGGCTTACCTACCACAGTATATGATGTTGCTATCAATCCTGAATTTTTCAAAAAAATTGAGAAAGATGACTTATTTCGCACATTCTTTCTTACTGTTGTCTTTGAGGGCTTGCAGGATAAATATCAATTTGAAATTGACATGCAAAAGTTCTGTGTGCTTAAGAATAGGAAGTCCATTGGTACTTTGCAGTCTCATAGAATTCAAATAAGAGACGTGCAGAACTGTGAAGAGGCAATGAAGCCTCCTCTCATTGAGGAGATAGGGGATCAGAAAACTTCGAAGATTGTTGAAATACCAGAGCCTAAGAAAAAGGAGATAGTATATAGATTGAGAAGGGAACCACCTACTGGTGAGATAGAGTACTTGTTGGCTGAATTTCAAATACCTGCTACTGTAAGTTTACTTGAAATTTTAGTCAAATCACAAATGTTTAAGGAATTAAATTTCAGTTCATTGAACAGATCCAAGTCCTACAGTTCTGCCCTCCTTATCATAAACATGTAACATTATTGATATTTTTACTGTTCGCTTTTAATATTATTTACTTTCATTTTTATTGTTAATTGACATTTTTCGAATTAAAAAACTTTAGGTGCCAGTATATTGAAATGCAAATGTGTTATAACAAGAAGAGCAGAGTTGTCTATATTCTATGGTATCTATGTATTAAACCATTAACATATAGATATACCGGTAACAATTCATTTTCCTTTATAGTTTTATTGCATTTGATAGGTTGAATGAAAACCAATGTTACAGGTATATAATGGAAGAGAATAAGAACATGCTTTGTTTCATTTTATTTATAAATATCTTGTTATTTTTGTAGATGGATTTAAAGGATGTCAACCTGGAAGTGGGTGAAGACAGAGTTGTGTTAGACCTTGAGGGAATGTACAATCCAGTAGACTTTTTTCTGCCTTGCAGCGTAGACCAGGAAGTTATTGATGCTCAGTTGAATAGGAACAATGATGTAAGATATTGATTACTCCCATGAACAGTTAACAATGCTTTAATTTATAATGTTAATATTATCTTTTTTTTTGCAGATGCTCTCTGTGAAAATGCCAGTTATCCATTAATTTGCTTTGCTGCTCATTTTATTATGAAACTATTCCATTTTCATCTCAAATGTATTCAAATTGATATTCTTTTGTTTCATTTTTTAGATTATGTTTATGAATTGGGTTATCAGGGTTACATAGAAAATAAAATAAAATTTTCACAAATAAATTTATTAAAAATTCATAAATATTACAACTGGCTAAAGTCAGTGGGGTTTACGAGATTCCACTAATTAATATCACAATACATACTTTAAATGCATGAAATACGTATAATACACTATTCATTTTCACTTTTGTGTGCTTTGGAATTGTTATAAAATTATGAAGCTAGTTTCTACATTTCTGTAAGAATATAACGTTAATTATAAATTATTATCAATAAAAAGCTAAACATTGCTGTTGTATACTTATACATAATAATTAATTGATTTCCCCTACTTACAAACTATCATAAAATAATGTGTGTACCTACCTATCTTCAAATTAGTAGCGACAGATACATTGTGATATTATAGGTACAAGTATTAATGGCAACAATGGTTGTTGTACACTTGAAATGCTTTATAAGCATATTTTTACTCAACCTAATTGTCTATATGAATGCATGAAATTCATTAAAAATTGGCTAAAGAAAGAAGGTGACTTGCTGCTAATCTGGGCGCAGAGTTTATTAGTATTTATCTACGTAATCCATATCGTATATCATCCATATAATCGTATTTTTACAGCAAGTCCGTTTTTCATTTTCTATACAATTTGTTTTATGGTGTTAACATTCCTCTGGAGACTTGTGACAGCTTTTTACTTTATACTTCGTTTCAATTCATTTTAAACAAAAAGTAAGTAAACAAGTCACCCGACCATAGACGGTTTAGTGATGGCCAATTGTAACGCCAACTACACATTGATTAAATAATTGAATGAATCGATTTGTTCAATTGAGTCATACTAGCGGTTTTCCTTACATAACCTATATAAGCATATTTAAAATTTCAATTCAAATCCTTACACTCAGATACTCGTTCGATTGCGATTGAAATGTTCGATGTAATAATCGATTACTAAACTTTCAATTGATTGAACCGAATGTTTTTTTCTAACAGCACTATGCAACCATAGGCAAGAAATAGAATATAGATGAATAATAACCTCACTTTTGGACTACTATAGATGAATAATACCTCACTTTTTCAAATACGATTTTACGATGCTATTCAAATGAATATTGTTGGAAAAGTGATGATATTATCAAGCCGAAATATTCGTGGAAAGTGTTACTTATTCGATTTATTGAGTGACTATTTAGAATTTTAATTTACTTTTTGTTCAAAATGGATTGGAACAGACTCTCGTAAGATTATTTAGTTGCTGTAGATTCGGTCATAAATCATCAGAGCCGGACTGCGATATTGCGCTCTCTATCCCACTTACTCAGTTTTGGGTAATTTATTATCTACTATTGTTTAAATATCGCAACCTAAAAACCTTTGAATACCATGTTACAATTTTTGGCTGAGATTAAAGATTCCGTAAAATTACGAAATTATTGCAAGCCTTCGTATTTTTAATAGTTTCAAGTTTTTAATATTGTATATTGTTTATTTAACAATTAAATATTTTTTTATTTGGGTTCCTACTAGGGTTGTTGCTGATGCAGGTTCTTTACACATCAGCGGATATTTTACGTTACTAAAAAGAAACTTAATGTTAACTTACTGAATCTATCTACATGTAAAATGGTGAAAGCTGTCTATTTTCTTTGATACTGTAATAAAATATTACTTCAATGATTTTGTGACTTTGTTAACAAAAGAATCAATCTGCATGACCACAATCAATCTGCTTGTTGTGGAATTTTGTCAAAGTTTTAAAAACAACAGCTGAACTGCTTTTTCGGCTTACAGTCTGTTTCTCGAAGGTTTGTAAATTATTCCAACATGCCTTTTAGGTCATGTCACGACTCGAACATCCGCTATGAATATCAGCATCGATGAATGCGGATAATTAATTGATGCCGATTATCTGTGGATGCTGATGCGGATGCCGATATTCGCAACAACCCTGGTTCCTACTTTCACTATTAAAACAGAATGAAACATCATCTATATCGATAGCATTTATCGAATGGAGTAATGCACAGCCCTGCGCTAAGATAAAAGGCCCGTACCTACCCGTCCTCTACCGATAAGTGGGAGAAAGAGTACAATATCGTTGTCTCGCTCCGATACTTTATGGCAGAGTCTGCAGCGAAAAAATAATCTTGCTATAGTTTCTATATAATAAAAACACTTTAAAACTCATCATGTTTCATATGCACTCCCTGCCTAACGTCCACATCAATACCAGCTAACAAGTTCTCGTCATACTTTCTCAAATGCGGTTTGATGTCTTGCAATAAACTTGCGTAGTTTGTAACAGGGATAGGTATAACGCTACTGAATGAATGGTGCTTGTTTCTGCCTAAATATAGTTTGAGGGATGGATAATTTGTGATTTGTTCGTGTTGGCACAGACCACGCTCGTTCACACAGTTCACTTTGCCCAGATGGATTGCATTGTTTAGTAACTGGAATGGAATATTAGGTTGTATTATAACCGTGCTGTGGAAATAAAATTGTAATAAACAACTTGAGCAAGATCTCCTTTTACATTGCGGCGGAATGGAATGGAAGTGTCAATTTCGCCACGCTGCGCGATAAGGCGCGCGCGATTCCGGAATGCTCGAGCATTCCAGCGAGCACGTCTTGAGGCGGTAGTATTTCGTCGAAATTTGACGTCACACAGGCGTCGCCGAATGCAGCTGCGGAATTCTCGCGAAGGCTCGTTTTAAATTAATGTTTAGTTCTTATTTATTGAAATTTAAACGTTACTATTTTATATTTTCCCTTTTTTGTGTAACATAAATGTACCACCGGTATGTGTAATTCACGCGATATTGATGGCAAGTTAACTGAAATATTTAAGGTAATTATAACAAATTTTATGTAGATACTTACAATGCCTACTATAGCGAAGTCCGCATACATTTCATAGCATCGGTAACATCTGGGAGAATGGAAGTACACCAGCCAAGGTTTCTTATCACTGAAAAAGGAAAATTTGCGAATTTAGAAACAGTGTCATAAAGTTACTGGGACAGTTGTAGCTAGAGAGCGCGATACTAAAATGTATACAAAATAATTTGTAAATTCAGGTGTTACTTTGCGGAAATCAATGTTAATAAAAATGGAACTAAATTAATAATAATATCGCCCACGCTCAACATAATCATTTATTATTATGAATTATTATTATTTTTTACAATAATAAGTGACAGGACAAACAAGTCGTGCGCCTGGTGTTAAGCGACAAGAATGGCCATTGCAGTTGCATTGTCCCTCGGAGCTTTAAATCGCAAACATCTGGTGGACACTGCCACTGCGCCTGTCACCCTGAGACATTAGTCGACAAGTCCCATGTGACTTTAATTTCACCAGCACCCTTTACTGCTTGGCGGCAGAAATAGGTAAGGTAGCAGTACTTGCCTGGAACTTTGATATTGCTTGACGGTTAAATCTTATAATTGGATATTATAAAAACACAATACAGTTTTTATGCATACAAAATATTACTTTTCCTAGTCACCGCTAGGGGCGCTGCACAATTTGTCATACAAAACTGTCAAATATTAAACCCTGTCGCTAGCGTTATTAGATTGAGAATATCAGCAGGGCGTTGTACTTTATAGTACTAGCTAAGTTACTAATCTTAAAGTATTTTCCTTTCTGCTATTGTAATTTTGATTTATTTGGAATATTGATAATGTAAAAATGCAATGCAAATAAAAAGATAACCCAGGGGGTATAAAAAAATGACATAATGAAAGATTTGTATAGACATATCGCTACTTCGGGAAAGGGCGTAAAATTTTATCAATTGTTTTTTGATAAAACAATTTTATCAAAAATAAGCTGCGGATGTGCTCGAGTTTAATGTTCAAACTCATACGATTCCGTTTAGTCAAAGAATTGCTTTTGCTAAAAAATGATATGAACCAATGTAAACTTTCTAGTTTGGCTTTTACACCTTTTCTTCCCCGAAGTATCGATATGGTCTTAAATTACCTCTTTGGGTGTAACTCTTCAGCGATAACATGTTTGCTGAATGAGTTCCAATTGAGTTTAGTGACGGAGTCGTCGATATATTCCAGCGCCCACTCCAACATGTAAGGTGCTTGTTGCAGGTGTTGCAGGCTTACTCTGCGAGAAATAACCACTAAATAAAAAAAACTTGTATGTGTTATTCTACACTTTGTAAAGTCTAACAGAGAGGACTAAGGAGCTTCTAACAATTATTCTGATTATCAATATTTAATGAATAACATATCCTGAAGGTATTTTTTTCAACTAAATTAACATTTAATTTCTACTCCATCTTTGGAGATATTTCTGCTATCATAGAAATGTTCAATTTCAATATTAACTAAGTAGATTATGTTGTAACAATTGATATTTTGCTAATTGTAGTGTATGATGACGTTCCAAGAGATGATGAAATAAATAAGGTAGGGTAAATCGTAAATAGAATCAGTAATAATTTTCCATTTTTTAAGGTCTGGTAACGATGTAAAACTGTCTGTCCATTCACTATTCCACCTTCAAACAAGGCTGAAAGCGCGCGTACCGCTAATGGTACCGCTTGGAATGTAACCAGGAGAGTGTAGTAGTCTCCGCAGCCTCCACACATCTTGCTTAGCGAGTTTAAAGTTCACAATTCAAAAGGGTAAAGAAATAGTGGTAACAAATCATATTATTCCCGTTTTATTAATATTTGTGATCTTTATATATAATGTTTATCGCACAAGAGATTTTTGGTTAACTGGTAAACGGTTCAAAAAACTAACGAGAAGACGTGTTCGCTGCCGCGATCGGGCAAAAGAAAAAAAAAAGGGCGTGACTATGGAACGAAACAAAATCAGAATGGCGCGGCAAAGGAATTAAAGAACGATTCAAAATTTAAAAACGAGTGGCCAGAAACCGGAGAAAAGGCGATAAAAAGACGATGTAAGAAGGTCACATCTCATCACAGGCTCCAACAAAAAATAAATAAAAACAATCACTGTTGGCTACCTGCATCGTACCATTCTCCGCCGTATCATTGTTTTTGGTCATTAATGATCAACTTCAACTTTTGCATCTATGGCTCCATCGTTTTGAGCGACGATTTCGCCAACGTCAGGGTTGAAAGACTAATAAAGACTCAGTGCGATGGTGTATTAATTGCCGGTTATTAAAATAGTTGCCTTTTCATATTTTGGGTAATGCCGCCGATATTAAGAGAATCTTGTCCTGTAGAAACGTGCTGTTAGGGCAATTTACAATTTGGGCCCCATAGGGTCTTTGAGGAATCTTAGAATAATAACGATAGTTTCATATCAAACGAACTGTCACAAGTGAGGCAAAAATCAAATTCATGTAGGCTAGTTTTAGTAGTAGGTTCATTTTCGGTTTTAGTGAATATTTATTTAAAAATACAAGTTGAAACGCGTTACTTCCGTGTGGAATGTGATGTTAGTATCTATTTTAGGTTTGTCTGACGTATTTTTACACTCAATAACCGCACATTTCGTCATTTTTAGCTAAAATTATTGATCTGTTCGCTGTGCAAGTTGACCTTGAGCACTGACGGCCCGCCCGCTCGTGTAGGCCCTTTGGGAGCGCTTCAATTTGCCTCACTTAGCGTGTGCGGACTAGGTTTCTATGCGTTATTATTCTAAGTGAGGGATAAGTTTAAAGAGATTAACATTCTTACACTAGCGTCACAGTACCTTTATGGAAATGTAATTTATATTAAGAGGAATAGAGTTTGTACCCTTCAAAATAACAAAAAATTGAATGCGAGTTACGTAAATGAGAAAACCGAGTTTAATTTTAATGTCATCATATAAAGCAAATTCACAAGCAGGAAAATAGTATCAAGCTTGTTTTTGTCCACCGATAACATGGTCAAATTGGGATCGTAAACTTACTTGTGGGCTTAAACTGTAAATCATCCCTTTTTAGTTTGTTACTGCAAGGGTCATATTTAACTAAAAGGCTTTTAAAAAATATCAGCAATATTTTACGTGTAGTGTTGTCCAGAGCCAAGCAGGTACAAGCGCGCGGTGGGTGAGCGTACGTTGGTACAGAACCCGCTGCTTTGGCGCCCGCACTGCATCGCGCCTACCCGAATGAACTCTAGCGGACGTAGCTGAGAATATCACAATAGTAATTTATGTGACTGTTACATAATGAAAGGCATTAAAACATCTCACGAGTGTTTTAATGCCTAATTATGTACAGTTGCATACACTGCTTCATTTACACACATATTATAAGCTCTCTGTGATGTGTTCAGGAACCGCATGTTACGACAGGCGAAATGGCGGCAAATAAAAACTTTTCTCACACATGTCACACAACCGTAGTTTCCATTTTTAATTCATAGTCGTAGTAAAATCGGACCCAACTATCATATCGATCGATATCAAGTAACGTGTGAAATTGTCAAAATTGTTTGCTATTGACATTTCATTTCAAATAAAAGTTCATCTCGACTGATATTAGAATTGAGGTCAAATCAAATTGTTTTGTTTTTCAGAGATATTCGAAATTTTAAATGTAATAATAACATCGAATTCGATTCGAGTTATTAGGAAGCTCAGACTATTTCCATCCTCTAAGAAGCAATAATAACATTTCCACAGATAAAAAATTTGTTCTAACAAAATAGTTTACCTTTATGCTAGTCGTAATTTGCGGTTTTTGAACACATTATAGAGAGTTTATGATATGTGTATAGATAACAGTATTTTATGCAAACGTTGCATATCAAGGGTCTTAAAGTGTCGTGTTTATGCCATGTGGCTTTTTTGAGTGGCCTAAGTAATATATATGAGATTTTAAGACATAATTATGTAGTGACTGCATACAATACTTTTTCGTCAATTAAAATAATGAAACACAACAAAATTATTGTTAACAATTCACAATACTAACTCAAACGAAAGCCAAACAAATGCCACAAAACAAAAAGCCAAAGAGATAAGTAGAATAGAGTGTTCGTGATTGGCCAAGTAACGCATATATTTTAACCAATCAGGAGACAGTTGAGCGTTGAGTAGCGTCATATTTGATCTTTCAATTAACAAAAATAATGACGTTCTTTTTTGAAACTCATTAAAGTTCTGTGTATAAAAATAAATCTTTCAGTTCAGTAGCGAGTACCATAGACAATAGCATTTTGTTTCAGAACCAAAAAGAGCGCCTTTGTGATATTGTTTTTGAAATTATAATTGACAGTTAAATTACGGAGTAGAAAAGTTATTTTAGACGGGATAATTGCGTTAGGTACAATTAAAGATACCTTGATCTTGTTTCAGTTTCTACTCAGAAGTAATTAGCATTGAACGTAACGATCAGTGATGGCCAATAACTAATAATGCAACAGAAGAGGCATTTTGCGTTGCTTCTGTTTCTGCTACTAACTTCTGTAACTGCGAAAGTTCGCCTCTATTTTTCATATCTGTTTCCGTTTATGTATCCCCACCTTTTATAACGTTCGCGATGGTTCAGGTGCGCGGATTGCTTGATGGGGCGGGCGAGCATTTTTTTAGCAGTTTTGTTTTGCGTTAAGTGCAATTATGAAACCAAAAACAAGCTCTGTTTGGAATTATTTCTTTGAAATCATTAGGGTCTCGAAGGGTCCCTTCGAGAATTATCCACCTGGATATACATACATATTTATAGGCGATTAAGTCTCGATTTTTTTTAAATCAAATAATGTGTAAAAAAATCGTATAATAGGACCGATTTAAAAATGTTTGATACCCGCGAAGGAACCAAAGTCGTAGGTAAAAAAAAGAGTAATAACAAGTAAGATCAAATGACTAAAAGGAAATTAGTTTTTCTCAAACCTTTCTAGCCACTATCCTCCACTCATGCATCAGCACATCGCACAGATGCCCACATTGCGCGGGCAAGAACGCCACCAGCCACGTGTGGTCCCGGCTCGATGGATCCATTATTTCTAGGATTTGCTGGTCGTTTAGTTCCATATCTAAAACCACATGTAAGATACATAAAAGTTTTAAGCACGATAAAATAGCTTATTCCCGACTGGCGATAAATGGGAAAAAAATCCCATATCGACTGTGAACTGGCAACCGGTACTATCTCAATTTTGACAACTTTACAAGATGAAGGAATAATCATTTATATAGCATCTGGTTTATTAAATAAAAATACGTAGTGTACATACATACATGAGTAATAAAAATATTTAAAGACTACATAATTATGTTTATTTAATAAACCAGATGGTATATAAATGACGCAAACAATTTATTTCTTCATTCTGTAGTTGTCAAAATTGAGATAGTACCGGTTGCCAGTTCACAGTGGATATTACCAGGTGGTGACAAACGGAATAAAAAACCTCAATTATTGTCAGTGGTGATTTCTACTGGCGACAAGTGAGGAAAAAAATCCCATATGTTACCGGGTGGTGACAAACGGAATAAAAAACTTCAGTTGTTGCCAGTGGTGATTACCACTGGCGACAAATGGGTAAAAAACCCATATGTTATCAAGTGGTAACTGGCAACTAAAATGGAATTTAAGATATCCCAGTAGTTGCCAGTGGCAAAAAAATAAATTTCTTTTTTATAAAAAAATAAAATAAAATTCGAGTTTAACTATTGTTTTACATTTATAGTGTCCAGACTTTCTGAATCATTCGATGGCGGCAATAAACAAACATTAATCGCGATTTTCCATTCCATTGTCATGCACTCCATATTTTTTTACAGAGGTCGTTTTTTTAGTACTCTGTACTGGGATTGTTCATCTTCTTAGAGGCAAATCAGTAATGGGATGTACAGCAGGTTGATGCTGATTTTACTAAGTAAAATATTCTTACCTGTACTATCCATGAGAAGGTCAATGAACTGTATGAGATCCTCTTCAGAAATCCGACTATTGTAAAAGGACCGTTTGCGGCCATGTTGTACGAGTATGGAGGGCTGGTTAGGAGCCAATTGACGGCAGTGTGTGTCCGTCGCCGACGTGCATGTCATTATTCCGAACTGAAAGGCGGTCAAAATCAAGTACTCTTTATTTCACTACCTAATCTTTATAACTCTACCGCTCATTCGTAAGGCAGATTCCTATGAGAAGAAGGAGAAGAAGCTCTAGGGGAAGGGGAAGGGGAAGAAACTCTAGGGGTCGCTCTTTGTATATTATATTTGATAGGTACATTTAACACTACGATATATAATTTAAACATTTTAGATCGAGACTACCTGCAAGAGCTAAATGGGTCACTACCACTGATTTTTGTCATCCAAATACGCAGAAACTGTATAATAATAACCTTTAGTATAAACTTTTTGTTTCACTATAGTTGTACACCTCGTAAATGGCAAATTTTTGGATGAATTTTGAAGGAATAAAATCCTAGTACAGAGCGTTTAAAAGAGAATGATATACAATTAAGCATGTAAAATCAACCTTCAGGTCAAATATGTTAAAACAAACGACGATAGAAGTTACCGTCTTTTATCAGAGTGTGTGAGTTTTAGCATTCAAAACATCTAAATTCCAAAATATGGACTTAAGGTTAAGGGACCATAAGTCCATATTTTGGAATTTAGGTAAGGACCTCTCACCTACAGAAATATTCTAACAACTTAATCTTGGTTACGCTTACGCAACAAATAGCCGAATTTATGTCATTTGAATGATTTGAACCATCATCGGCATCGGTAGATGTGTTCGTTACTATTTGCACCTACTGTCGTAAGGTATATTTTATCTGTAATTGTATCATTTATTTTGGCACAGTTACAAAATACAAATTGGACGTAGTTAAGCAAAAATGATCCAATCCACAAAATTATCAAAAATGAGTTATATGTTCCTAAAGTTTCCTAAAGCCTAACCTCTTAACATATAAACATAAATAAATATCTCTGGAGTTACGTGAATTTATAAGTTTTGAAAATAAAACAAGAGTGACAAACACTTTTAAACCTCAAACTGCCGTATCTCGAAAGTGACTGGACATGCATTGGATCCTGTTTGTTTAACTACGTCCAATTATATTAATACAAGTAAAACTATTACACTAACAAGAAACAAACAAAGTAGCTTAATAACAACTGCGTACAACATGCAAATAACATTTTGCACTTTAATGAATATGGCTAACTAAGTCAATAGAAATGTGTATATTTTAAATAAAATTACGTCTGTCTGTGATGCGTTCATGTGCTTCATTACAGCCCGGGCTTTATATAATTTTTACAATTAAGTTGGTGCTCTGGTGGAATATATCAAGATCTTTACATAAATCATTATACACCCTGCATAAACGTATGAGAGGGCTGTTATGTGAGACATTATTTTTAGCAGAAGGCACCAAGAAAAAAATGGTTTTTATGTTATAATACTAAGCGATGGGACTAAGTCGTTAAAACTAAAAACAAAGATCCGACAACGCTTGTTGACATAGAAAAATTCGTGCGATCCGTTGGTTCGTTCCGTGGCTTAGTTGTCATAGCGTTTGGGACGGTATGCTAGGAGATGTCGGTTCGAATCCGGCCGGATCGAAGGAATTTTTACTAAGTGTTCGATCATTGTATTAATAATTATATATACAGAGTGTGGAAAAAAAAAGGTTTTTTGTTATATTCTTCATAAAGAATACGTTACAATTATATTGGTCCATTGGCATCGTAGTCGGCCATCCTGTCCTAAAAATCTTAGTAAAAGCTCACCCAGGAATGTCCGTTGAATGTTAGTAAAGTGGCAAATTAGCCAGTGGGTAAACTTACACTGATATTGTCATCAGCGTCGTTGAAATGTATGCTGGCTCTTGTGAATGGCTCGACGATGTGGTCCCACGACAACATGTATGGCACTACTACCAGCACCCACACGCCCATATCTGTAATAACATGTCGTTTTAGAGCCGTTACACGCGGTGACTTTTAGCAGCGATGCAAACGTGCGTTCGTGAAACGCGCGATTGCATCGCTACACTTGCGGTTTATAGGCGATTGCATTGATGCGAACCCGCGACTGCATCGATACGAACGCGGGGCTGCATCGATACAAACGCGCGACTGCATCGATGCAATCGCTTATAAATCACAAGTGTAGTGATGCAATCGCGCGTTTGTATCGATGCAGTCGCGCGTTTGCATCGTCGTGATCGCTCTTAGACTCTAATACACACTTTGTTATCTGGCGGAAGATAACACCATGTAACACGATTTTTGTTTCTGGGTTATCGATATCACTTTTTAATTGGTTCTTTCATAAAAAATATGAATAAACTTTATTTCCCAGCAAAAGCATTGCTTTTGTGGTAAAGACAACGAATAGTTGAAATTTGCACAGTATTAAAAAAACGTAAAAATTTTCGGGTTTCTCTTGTTTAAATGTTTGTTTCGTTACCTCCATCCAGTATCCTCAACAGCTCAGTAGCAGACAGCGAGTGCAGCCGCACCGCTGCTGCTGCCAACTGAATATCACTCGCGCTCCGCAACCGTTGGTATGCTCCTCCAGACTTCAACACCGCCCACGCCGGAGCCTGCTCTACTTGCAGTGATATGCATAGTTGTTCCCATTTATCACAGTCGAGTTCACCTGTAATTATAAAATTTCTTAAATAAATACTTTATACAACAACCTCGTGTTCACAAACGAGAAGCCCAAAACAAATTACAAATACGTAATAGAAAAATTTGATGAGTATTTCTTGCCTATGTCGAATGAGACTATGGACCGTCACTTGTTCTTTAAAAGGAAACTAAAAGAAACCGAGAGTTTTGATGACTACGTCAATGCTCTGCGAACAATGGCAAGAAATTGTAGTTTTGGTGCAGCAATTAAAGATGATATTATTAAAGGATTATGGAAGAAACAGGTCGTGGAAAGATTACTCAAAGAAACAAATTTAGACCTAACTAGAAACAGTTATGATAAAAGATAAAATTATGGATTTTAAGTTGTACACTGGTTCTGGCTGTGATGTAATATACCCCTAAAATACGTAAAGCCGCTGAGGATGCAAGACAAAATTATAAAGAAAGATGGGAATTTGTATAATTATGATGGTTCAAAAATAAAAAGTGTTGGCGTGTTAGCAGTTAAAGGTAAGCTGATAAATAACAAAAATTTACCGATTGAGTTTTATATTATAGACAGTAAAGTAAATGTGTTCCAGTGTTAGGACATGATACAATTTCCGCATTAAATTTATTAGAAAGAAAGTTTCTGAGAAAAATTGAAAATTGTGATTATGACAAAATCATTGATAAACATAAAGATTTGTTTGATGACAGTAAAATAGGAACAATAATAGGTGTACAGTACAAAATAAGAGTGAAGAAAACACAGTAGGCAAAGTGGAACAGTGCCGGGGTGACCCCGTGTCTCTGCATACCTCATTAAAAGAGGAATTAGAAAAGTTAACAAAACCAAATGGTTATTACTACATATATATTTATTATTACTATATAAGTGCCTCCGTGGCCAAACGGTTACCATGCCGGACTGCCACGCAGAGGTCCCAGGTTCGATTCCCGGGCCGGGAGAAATAGTAGTATGGCCTAAAATTATTTCTCTTGTGAGTTTGGGTGTAATTTGTGGTTGTCTATGTGCGTGTCCATGGCACCCGCGACACAGGGTTTCCCTAGTGCGGGGCTATGTTGAGTGTGTGCGTTACTTATTTATTTAATTCTTTATAAAAAAATAAAAATAAAATAAATTGCCTACTCGTACATTTGTTAGTTGTAAAAAAACCCAGTTATTTAACTGGGTTTTTTTACAACTCTGCCACTCCTAGTTACATAAGGTTCATTTCTTAACGGCTGTTCATTATTTACTTTTTCAGAAGGTACAACATTTGTAATACTTTTAAAGTTAACAAAACTTAAGGTGATACAAAAAATAACAGAGCCGACAGACTTTGCAATAAAGCATTGCAAAAATAAGCTATATAATAGTGACAGTAAAAAAAATGATGGGAACATTAGGGAGTGTCTGGACCCTAGTAATTTGAATAAGTGTCTACTCAGAGAACATTTTAAGTTACCTACTTTCGAGGAAGTTTCATGTAGAATGGTAGGTTGTATTTAGTAAGTTGGATGCTTCTACAGCTTTTTTTCATCTGTGTCTAGATCCTGAAAGTGCAAAGCTAACAATATTCATAACACCGTTTGGTAGATACTATTTTAGACGTTTGCCTTATGGTCTGGCATCTGCGCCAGTAATTTTTCATAGACATTATTCAAAAATCTTTCAGAATATAGAAGGTTGCCAAGTGTTTGTGGATGACATTGCAGTGTATGGCAAAAATAAAAAAGAGCATTTCGAGAGACTATTAAATGTTTTTAAGGTAGCCGCTGAGAATGGAGTTAAGTTTAACGTAAAAAAGTGTGAGATAGGGAAGGCAGAAATCCAGTATCTGGGCCATATTTTGTCTAAGTATGGAATAAAGCCAGATCAAAAAAAAATTGAGGCAATTATAAATCTTGAAAAGTCCAAGAATAGTAAAGAGGTTCAGCGTTTATTAGGTATGACCACTTATATGGCAAAATGTATACCATCCTTATTTGAAAAATGTTATCCCTTAAGATTATTAATTAAAAAGTCACAGGAATGGGTGTGGACAGATAAGCAGGAAAATGCTTTTATAGAATTAAAAATATTTTAATTTCGAATCCAGTATTACAGTATTATAAACAAAATTTACCTGTAAAGTTGTCTGTTTCTGCTTCAAAAAATGCAATGGGAGCAATTGTGTTACAAAATAACTTTACAGGTAAGTTTGTGCATCGAAATGACTAATACGCAGCAGATGTATGCGCAAATTGAAAAAGCGATGTTGGCTAGTTTTTGGATGCACAAGATACCATCAGTATGTTTATGGTAAGTTGGTAGAAGTAGAAACAGATCATAGACCGTTAGAATTGATATTTAAGAAACTTTTGTTTGATATTCTACTAAGATTACAACGCATGCGCTTACATTTGCAAAAATATGATATTGTAGTTAAATATAAACCTGGAAAGGACTTACTGTTGGCTGATGCTTTGTCAAGAAATTGTACAAATAGTGATGAAAGTTTGTTAGAGTAGGAAATGGAAGCTCATGTAGGTATGGAAATAACTGCTTTACCTGTTACTAATAATAAGTTACAAATTTTTAAAACAGAGACTGACAAAGACCCGGAATTTATAGAATTAAAAAAATATATTTGATGTGGTTGGCCTGACATTAAGGAAATACCATGTAATTTGAAACATCTATATACTAAATCTATGTTTGAAACCATTCTTTACTTTCAGATAATTTGATATTTAAAAACAATTGTATTGTAGTACCAAAATCCTTAAGATCTGACATGTTAGAAAGAATCCATTATCATCACATGGCTTGTATGTTTTGGCCATTTATGTCTAGGGACATTGAAAACAAGGTATTGACTTGTAGTACATGTATATATAATAAATATTTTGAAGTTTCTAAATAAAAAAATTTAAGCACTGACAAAACAATTGAACATTTTAAATTTATATTTTGTACATTTGGCATACCTGATATTTTGTATACAGATGGAGGAACAAATTTTTGTAGTGCTAAGTTTAAAGAATTTGTTACGAATTGGAATTTTATGCATAAAACAAGCAGTCCTATGTATCCTCAGTCCAATGGACTTGCGGAGCGCTACATACAAACTGTCAAAAATTTATTTCAGACAGCAGATTATGAAGGCAAAGATAAATATTTAGCTTTACTAGAATATAGGAACACCGCTATATCACAAGAATTCGACTGTAAAAGCCCATCAGAATTGCTAATGGGAAGGAAAATTCAAGGGCTTTTACCCGACTTTAAAAAAGTCAGTTCCAAAAATGTTATAGTACAAAATACATTATATAATAATGCTCGTACACAAAAATTTCATTATGATAGACAAACCAAGAAATTGACAGATGACAGAAAAATGGCCAGAAAGTTGTACTGTTAGATTACAAAAACCCTAATTGTTATGCTGAAATAAAATCAAAAGGTGTAAGACCTAATTCGTATAAATTGTTAACTGAGACTGGACAAGAGTTAGAGAGAAATAGAAAATATTTTTGTGCTAGTAAAGAACGCAAATTAGGGGAAGGGATGAAGATAATGACTGTGTTACAAATACTAGAAATTCAAACCTAAAAGATAATGAAAGTATTACAAATGTTGTAACTTCTGAAAAAGTAAACAATGAACAGCCGTTAAGAAATGAACTTTATGTAAGTCGGAGTGGCAGAGTTGTAAAAAAGCCCAGTTATTTGTACGAGTAGGCAATCACCATTTTGTTTTGTATTTTGTTCTACTAAGTTTATAAGTTTCTAAATAAATGTAAGTTTCTAACTAAATGTACGTTTCTGGATAAGAGTAAGCTAGTAAAAATTAAACTTAAGTTTAAAAATTTTGTTGTGAAGTTAAATTCAAGTTCTTGTAAGTTAAAGTTCAGTTTTATTTTAAGTTTGAAAGGAAAGGGGATGTCATGGTGAGATACATCCCTAGTCGATTGTACAGCTCTAGAGTAAGAACATAATTATTGTCTGTGGTTTTCAATATACTTTACTTTTACATCTATGGTCACCGGTGTTTTACTCAACAAATTCCATCCTCTAATTACTTGTTTAATACAAGGCCAGACAGACAAATGAATTTTTGAAGGTGAACAACTTGGACCTTATGAGCCATCTAGCGTACAGTCCCGACCTGGCACCTTGTGACTTTAATTTATTTCCAAAAATTAAGAACTGAAAAAAAGAGGCTGTCGAAGGGTACGAAAAATATGTTTCAGAGCTTGTCACGGAGGAGTGGCATAAATGTTTTCAAAATTGGTTCATTCGTATGAAAAAGTGCATTAATGCTAACGGAGAATATTTTGAGAAACAATAAACTCATTTCTGACCATTTATGGTATTTTTTTCTTATTCATTCCTGAAACTTATAGTGCGCCATACGTAAAACGTGGACAAGGTAACTAGGAAAAAAAAAACTGTGAAAGATGTATATGAGAGAGTAAAGAGTTGTGTGGTTGTATAATAATTGTAGATGAATGTGTGTTTTGCTTAGAGGTGTGTGTGGCAGTGACAAGGCGTTCGTGTAACTCGATTTTCACCGGCTTGCCTAAAATTTTCCACGTATCACCACATATTACATTTTGTGCAAAATTTTTTGTGTATAAGTTAACTAGTGAAATGAAGTATACTAGTACCTTGTGTGCTAATAAATTGTGTTTAAGTGTCGCCAAGGCGCCACTTTTTCTTAAGGAAATTGATTTTTGTTTTGCTCCGGCTCTTTTAAATTTTCTCGCCTCGCCTCTGGTATGTGGGTATGTAGTAAGTGAGTGGAGTGTATGCGTGGTTTATATATAACTATGGAATATAAAGTATTTACTTGATGTCGGTCCGTAAATGTAGTTAACACCACCCAGAAGACTGAATAATAATGTGCCAGGCAACCTAACCAATTATCTAGTCTCGTACTAGGGAGGGCCCTGTACTACGAGTACCAGAGCATTCGAATTCATTCTCAACAACACCTAGACCAGAATCAATATTGAAATGGCAATTTTTCAA